CCTATGCATGTCAATTTGTCTCCCAATTTCATGATCTTTGACCGACTGGTGTCCATTTTTGTCCCGCATGTTAATTTCTCTGGCATTGCACAGGTCTGATTTCATACAAACTGTATGAATGTCACATATGTTTTGTGATTTGATTAATAATTTCCAACTGGTTTATGTGTAGAATAAACAAATTGTATGATATAACAATGATCATATTCTTAGATGGTATCACTTTGACTGAACAAAACCTGGATAAGATGCCATTTCAACTAACACCATATTTTTAACATACTGAATACTCACCTGGCATTTAATTACCGATATGATCTATCAAGATCTGTATTTATATTTGACATGGTCACTAAAAATTGAACGACAACTTTATTTGACAGTGACTTGGTAATTATAATAATAACTAATAACTTTATAGCATCCTTCTATCAGTTAATATCAATAAAATGGATTGTTGAGCTGTCACATTATCTTAATCCCACTCTTGCTTTTAAAATTCTTATTGTTAGAAAAGTGAGGCTCATCTTTCCTGAACATCCAACATAGTGCAGTGAGAGTATCAAAATATATGAAAACATCAACACTCATTACAAAAAACTTAATTTGAATCAAATTACCGGATAACCAGTGAAAATATTTAAATATGTTTCAATTTTAAGGTTTGAAAATTTCATGTGTTAGTGATTCATACTTTGGATTCACTATGGATATGTAAAAATTAATTTTAATGGTGTTTGAAAATTATATATTTAAAATTTTATATATAATTGTTATTCCTGAGTGCAAAGTAGAAGCCTTTGTGGTCACAATGTCTGCCTGTCAGTATGTTTGTGTATATGAAGATAATTTTAAATGTGAAATGTACTAAATTATTCTTATACACTATAGTCTTTGGTGCACTCTCAGACTTTAAAACTGAGTGTAAGCAACACACAGCCAAACTTCATAATTTAGAATTATACATTTTAAAGAATTTTCGTATTTCAAACAAGCTAGTCTACTGTTTGCCTGTAGTTTAGACAAGTTTGAGTTAGTTTTACTGTATAGATACTATTACTTGTATAAGTATTTATGTGTGTATAGTAGCAATCGACCATTTCCATTGAAAAACTAGTTCTTAACTAGTAATTAAAAGAAAAACTCATGGGGTTGACCATTTGGATACGCTGCTCAAAACTCATTTTTCTTCTAACACAGTATCTAAATGGTCAACTCTGAAACTAAATAATTATTGAAATACACTTGTAGATGTGTTGTATCTCATATTAAAGGGCACTGGTCATCACGTAATGTCATGTTTGTTATGGGACTATAGTGACGTATAAAACGCATGTATAATACATTGTTTACATGAAATTTGAACACGTGCTGCGCCACGACCACCACTTTTTAAAGTTCGCTATTGTTTTAATAAAATAATCTGAACAAGTAATTATATTAAAAGTGATATTTCCTGATTATTTAATTCAAGGGTTTTACTTTGACTGTTTTTAAAATTACAGTACTGTATCTGACATACAATGGAATAATCTGAAATAAGGAAACCACACAATTTATTTGCTGTATAGAATTAAATCATGAAAGCAATTAATTTTCTAATAAACTTTGGAAAATACAGAATAAGGAATGTACTGTATATAATTGGAAAGTGTTGCCTGTGTGTGTGTGATTTGTGTTTGTTTTTTTTGTGGTAAAATAATGATTATAACAGCATAGCTTTGATAATTTGTCTACTACCGGTACAAGACATGTGTTTTAAAACTGACAATTTATTCACGCATTAATTAATTTGCAATACCAATATGTACATTCAAATCATTCAGAGAGAGAGCAGCTGTATTTTTCAACTGTGACTGTCAGAATAGAAGAACATTACATGTTGGACATTATACATTACAATGTGTAACTAAAGACACTAAAAGATACATATGTATATTTTAGTGTCTTTGATGTAATCAATGTTAATAATTTGTTTGAAGTTGTCCGCAGGTGCTTGTGTTCGACCAAGCCTGGTTGATGCCACGATAACGAAATTGCGATTTGACAGAGAGGTGGCCACACACTGTAATTTAGTTTTGTTAGCTCCGCTGTCGACTTTGTCGAGCGGAGCTTATCATATGAGTGATTGTCCGTCGTCGTCCATGTCAATGTTTTACTTTTTCGACTTCTTCTTGAAAACTACAAGCCTGAATGCTTTGATACTTGGTGTGTATGTACCTGATATTACATATATAGATACTACATGTAAACCTTTCTCAGATTTGTTCATGTCGTGATGATATCTTAAATTATCTAATTTTGGTGAATATTTTTGTCATTTTTGGTAAATAGTGATATTTTTGACTTCTTGTTAAAAACTGAATGTCCAATTGCTTTGATATTACATATATAGATACTACATGTGGACCTTTCTCAGATTTGTTCATTTCGTGATGATATCTTAAATTCTCTAATTTTGGTGAATATTTTTGTCATTTTTGGTAAAAAGTGATATTTTCGACTTCTTGTTAAAAATCAAAAGTCCAATTTCTTTGATATTACATATATAGGTACTACATGTGGACCTTTCTCAGATTTGTTCATTTTGTAGTGATATCCTCAATTCTCTAATTTTGGTGAATATTTTTGTCATTTTTGGTAAAAAGTGATATTTTCGACTTCTTGTTAAAAACCGCAAGTCCGATTTGTTTGATATTACATATATAGGTACTACATGTGGACCTCTCTCAGATTTGTTCATTTCGTGATGATATCTTCAATTATCTAATTTTGATGAATATTTATGTCATTTTTGGTAAAAAGTGATATTTTTGAATTCTTGTTAAAAACCGCAAGTCCAATTGCTTTGATACTACATGTACATATATAGGTACTACATGTGAACCTCTCTCAGATTTGTTCATTGTCCGATTGCTATACATACTATACATATTGTTCATTTTCTAATGATATCTTCAGTTCTTTAATTGAAATGTGCCTTGCTAACAGCGGAGCTATCTCAGCCGAGAGGCTGTTTGTTTTTATTTTGTGTTAATAATTAACTAACGTTTCTTAAATTCCATGTGTTTGTATGACATATATAGTTTCTGGCAGAATAGGGTATACCCGAAATGGTTGTGTCTTGTGGCCACTTAGTGTGACATTAAATTGTGTACGCGAGTCCTTTGCCCTTTTTCGCAAGTCAGGATACATGTATGTTTCTGCTGTGGAAACAAAAACAAATGCGCAATTAGGAATCGCCACAAGAGGGCGTGGTAAACTACAATGGTAGTTGGCAAAACGATCTGCATATACATTTATTATACTGAGCAAAATAAAAGCTAGTGTTCTATGATCAACAATACAAAAAATATGCTGTATCGATCGCCAAGTTTATCCTTGTTGAAAAATAGATACGCCATGAACGTACTGGAGATCCTGAAACCCCCTAACTCTGTTAAAATAATACCACATCATTTCCGGGTGCCGTGTGGGGGCTAGCAGGGCCGCTGGGACTGCTAATGCATTATTGATGGGTTGTGTTTTAGGCGATCTTTGCAAATCGACCGATTCTGAGGTATATCAGGTATATACAGCTACAATACTTGTTATTCTAACTTCATAACTGTGTTATCGGGTACAGTATATATATATAGTTGTCATAGTAACACATACCATCGTTTTGTTTATGTATCACTCCATGGTGTATACTATATAGTCACAGGCGGGTTCACATTCTTTAGTTTGTGGCAAGATTCTGTTACATGTGCTCCTTAGACATTGTTATGTCATTGCGCTGTTTGATTTGATTTCTCTTGAGTGAAACAAGTTGGTTAGTAATTACGCGATTATCTCTAAGTTTACGCAACTACAAGATTCGCCATGGCGCATTTGGTCTGAAGTTGACATTTAACCGTTTTCAAAGACCAAAGACAAAATCAAGTGTATTTCCATATCCACTATCCATGATATGCCATACATATCATATATATACATATATATATATATATATATATATATATATATATATATTATATTTGGTCATTTGTCAGAACTTTGAGCTGCCACGCCCCTTTCATTTATTACACCAAAAAAAAAACAAAAAAACAAAAAAAAACGCTACAACTCTGGGGGGTGGGGGGGTACCAATCTCACCGATGATCATTGACTGCAATATCTTGTGAATTCTGAAAAAAAATAGATACATCCTGTTCAGTGTCCTCACCAGGAAATAAATATGTAAGACAGAAATGTTCCATTTCTTTAAAAAGTATGAGATAATTACCATGTAGGACTTTTAGCATTTTGTCCCCACGGCAACATAGTGGAGATTATTATTGCATTTATAAGATGTCACTTGTATTTGTAAAAGAAATTGAGTCAAAAATATAAATCATGAGGCAAACTTCTTATGCTTATTGAGTACACTGCCATTATAGCCTGGTTAAAAAAAATACTGTAAAGCATTTGGGCAATTTTATGAAAAGGGTATCCTCATTTTCACATAATTAAAGTGATAGGCAATACACCCTTACTTTATTGGACTAGTCCATGTAATTACCACCCTCCATCCTCCCTCATGCTAATAAACAGTTACAATCAACTAAATGAACTTGCTTTTACCTATTAGTGAAATAAGTGAAAATGATCCACAACCTATAAGACTGATTATATAGCATGACTATTTCTTGTAATTGCTGAAGCGGAGACACACTTAATAGGTGATGGTCACTGCGCATCACATGTTCAAATTTCATGTATACATGCAAACAATGTATTTTACACATGCTATGTACGTCGTAGTGCAACGACACCCCCCCTTTAATTGTCATGCATACTAGTATTGTTGTGTCTGTACAACTCTTGCAGAATATGGTAATTCACATAAGTCATGAAAATCTGAATATCATTAGAAACCATAGAACACAACAACAACAAAATGATGAAGAAATATTTATCAGTAACAATGAGTATCTAAACTTTGAAAGATAATATATTGTTTCTTCCAGAGTGTAACAATGGCCACTTCATCTCACACAAAAGCTTATGAGTATGACTTCTACATCTCAAGTCAAGATAAAGAATGGATCAAAAATACTGCATGTAAACTAGAAAAGACTGGGCTGAAAGGACGATATGATGACCGGGACATGCTAGGTCTACCATCAAAGATGAAGCAGTTTCAAAACTTTAACCAAGAATGTCACAAAATAATTTATGGCTTTGGCCCCTACAGTTCAGAGAATGATCACAAATCTGAACTATCTCTGGTGCAGACTTTTGAAAACAATGAGAACTGCAGGATAATTGTTGTTAAATTGACAGACGATAGTCAAATTCCTGATTGCTTTGCCAATCTCTATGCTTTGGATGCGAAGAAGGATGATTTCATTAGCAAGCTAGAAGAAAGTGTGAGGTTCAACCTAGGTGAATCAAACATGATGGGGAAAAAGGATAGACCACCAAAATTACCACAAACAAATGCAGGTCAGTCATTATTAATGCATACATGATTTTAAACTATTTGTGAGCTCCATAATACAATGCTGCTAGTTAGCCAGATTTTATTCAAACTGGTGGTCATTTTGTTTTACTGTGAATACTGTGCATTCATTTGATAATGTAATGCTATATGATTGTTTGGCAACATATTGGTGTTAAAGATGCATTAAAATCATTTCTGCCATTCTGATCTGGATTCGATTTGATTTGATTCATGCATCATTTGAAATTGATAAATACCAGTACATGGAAAATCATATCATGCATGTGTATACAGTTTGAAAATGGCCAAATAGTGACCATTTTAGGGTTAACATTTTTCAAAATCAACTATTTCTGCGATTTCAGAATGGTATTTTAATCGTGCATGGACAGATTTTGTTCACAATTGGCATATGCATAAATTTGGTAGTTTGAAGCTCAAAATCAATGATGATGTCTTTTTCAAAAACTAATAATTCTAGGTTTTATCACAAGTTCCTGTTTTTCACTCTTTATTCATAAATTTCAGTATTTTAGCTTTACTATAATTGCATCAGTCACATTATATGGAATTTAATAAAATCATATATATAATAGGTCTAAATCATTTCATATCTTGATATCATAATGCAAAAGTAACACTTTCTCACACATATATTATTTTAAATTAAAAAAATATTGATGATTAATTCCAGGAATGGCAAAATATCACAAAGACATTCTCCGAAAACATATGAACAACTTTGCACATAATCTACCATATCAAAGTGTACTTGATCATATGCCACAGGTGAGAACCATGAAACTTTAATTTACACAATCTCACCAAACTATGACTATTTTTATACCTCACTCCACAGCTGAACTAATATTTTTTTTATACCTGTGACTCCCTAGCTGGACAAAAACTATATGTATCATACTTGACCAAACATACAGACAAACTAAAATAAATGCGTGCAATACTAATAGAACAAATCCAATTACAATACAGTAATTGTGTTATACCTGACTCCCTAGGTGAACTAAGAATTTTTATATCATACCCCAACGTGACTCTAGCTAATATTTTCTCATACTCAACTATTGTTGACTGGCATACATTTGTTTTTTCTCACGATTTCTGCACAATTCCATCAATTTTGTTCAAAGTTGATACAAAGACTAGTCTATTTTTAGGTTCATGCCAATTTTATCGATACTTATTGATCAAACATGATGGATGGTATATATAATCACTGATACATCAGTTGGTGTTGTGATTTTATTAAAAATGGCCGATTGGCAGCCATGTTGTGTTTTTAACTATTTTCAGACAATTTGAAACCAATTTTGTACAAGGACAAATCATAATGGCATACATATGCTTGACATTTTGCTTTTCATTCTGCATTGTCATTTAGCCAACTTGTAGGTGCCTTTTTGTCCTCAAAACAAGTCTAATTAATAGCCTAATTTCAATACGGAGTCATGTGTATACTACAAATAGTCTTATTTATGCTAGAGCGTCAGGTGTGATACAGATTTAATAGTCATTATTCAGTTAGGGAGTCAGGTATTAAAGGTACCGGGTACATTCTGAACAGTAACTGAACAGATTGATCTGCCATGCATTCATAGAGTGAACAAAAAAGCATAATTCAATTGACAACATATGGATAGTATAGTTTACCATGCCTTGGAAAAACATCATCAAGTAGAACTTAAAATACGCTGGCCATAGAGGGCGCCCCTTTCATGAACCATGTCTTAACAAACTTGAGCATCCAGATGGTTTATTTTTCCCATTTCAAGGCAACTTGTTATACCTCATACCTGACTAGTATCTATTTTGTCCTTAATTTAATTATCTTTCTTTTGTATATGGTTATAGGTGTTCACGCTAGAAGATGAGTCTAGAATCAAGAATATTAGTCTTACAGACTTTGAAAAAAGAAGAAAACTTGTTGAAATTTTGATGATGGAAAAGAATTCAAATGCATTTCAACAGTTTGTGAAGGTGCTGGAAAAAGTTTGTTCCTTTATGGCTGATGCCTTGAAAAAAGGTATGATAATTTCTATTTTGCACTTTGATCCATGTGTGTCTGTTCCACTGATGTCGCAAGAACCACTCAATAGGTTTCAGTGAACCTTGAGATAATTCACAGACTGACTTTGTTCTCAGTTATAACCAATGAATATTAAAGGAGAAGTCAAGGCTAACAACATAATACATAACAGTTTTTTATATCTCTTTTCATTCTCTAGATATTCATCTTTTTATCATAGCTGAAAGCATTTTCTAATTTTTAAACAACAGTGGATATGATGTCACACTTTACCCACAACCCCTTGCTGGAGAATCAAGATGGTAGACTACATAATACTGATGAAAAGTTGACTATCTAGAGAATGAAAAACTGTAAATTGCATTCTCTTACATTTGTAGAGCTCTTACAATATGTTGCATTATGTTTTTTGCCTTCCCCTTTAAATATCTAAATTTGCATATTACTTAGATTAGTTTTGATTCTAATCCTTGCATATTAATTACCTATTAAAGTCACCTAAATTAGCCAATTTGTAGCTGTTCCACTGTATATTTGCTCTAGTTTTGAAGCGTATCTCCAAGAAAAGTTCATATAAACCGAAACATGTATTTCCTTGTATACTGGATAATTAAAATATATCTGAGTTTAGCCATAGTAGACATATGCCTGTCATTTACATACAGCACAACTGAAATATTTTTTCTCATCTTAGCAGAAACACTGATCAATCTGAATGTATGTTTATATTATTTTAACAGATGCTACTGATGCAGAGACTGCTGCCAGAATAAAGAATTTAAAGATCTAGATAAAGGATTGTTGACGAGATCAGTGCCAACATTAATACTTCTATCTATCAAAAGGCCAAAAAAAAAATTGTTTTGTTGCCCTCAGCGAGCGACCGAAAAATATGAAATATGTGGTCGCGTTTTTTTTTTTTTTTTTTTTTTTTTTTTTATTTTAATTGACCCAAATATTAAAAAATCAGCATTTTAAGCAGTAAAAAAGTGTTTCCTCTAAAAATTAAAGATCCTGGACTGTTGTTTGATTCCCAGAGTCCCCGTAAGTGGCGACTGTGAACCTCAGGTTGATCTGTATTTATCTGACATGTTCCGAATACTATGCAGTCCATATACCTTGGCTATTTTCGATACTCTTAGTTTTCATGAATTTAAAAAAAAAAAATCCGACCGACGTACCAACCCAATTTTTCGACTTGAGGGCAACATAAGTTTGTTTGTTTTTTGGCCTAATTACTAGGCAGTACAATTTTTGCTCAACCTGTCACACATATTCATCCATTTACCTTGTCTATTTATGCATATCATGCATTGTACCGAATCACACTTGAATTTGTATATGGCTTGGTCAGGCATTGTAATTGTATTCATTATTGAATCATTATTATCAGAGATATTGATATTGGTGATCATAGAAGTCAGGTTCTTGTTTGTGCTTTCCCAGAGTTAGTTTTGATCACCAATGCGACGGTTGAAATGTATGTTGCAAATGAACAATCAAAAAGTGATGGAAATACTCGACTCAAATGTGATCAATGTGTTGGGTAAAGTGATAAATATGTGACCCTGATGCAATCAATATGCGATCAATATGCAATGCGAAAGTGATAAAAACATACAAGGACTGTGTAAGTTACTTACCCCCGGTACATACAGACCAATTAGAGAGCAGCTTGTTTGCCTTATATATATGCTCAGTCTCAACTGGAATAATGACAGGGTTTGCCGTACTGTATATAATTTAGGTCAGTTTAGGTAATGTCTACAATGATATTATCAATCTATCCCCTAAACAATAAATTTCTTATTTGAAAAATTTACATCACATGTACATCACAATTGAAAATTGATGAAATAATATGTACAAATGATGTTAATGTACAGCTAGTGAATCCTGTGTACAGCAATCATCAAAATAACTGAGACCAATTGGGTCTTCACATCATTTGATTCACATGGTTTCACTGAAGCCGACCAATCATGGCTGTCTCTACAAACCCGTGCATGACCATGTTAGAGAAAGCTGTATATTACCTCAGTTAAATTCCTCAGTTAAAAGAGCTTGTTCCATCAATCAACATTCCACTGACAAAAGTCTTTCAGTTTCAAATTTAAACCAATTAATTCTGTTTAAGTATTTGTTGACAGATTTATGTGGTGTTTGGTTTTTACTTCATGTATTATAAATATTTTCAACATACTATGCAGAGTGTGTGGAACAATTTTAATATTTCTAACTGTAAACATATTATTCATTCACTGGTGTTTAATTTCACTACTTTTGCTCATAAGTAAAATCCACAAAATTAAATCCATGGGAACATGTAAATAATATTAGAACTTATTGTTTTCCCTGCAAGGTTTACAGAATTAAAATCCAGTGATATCACTCAAAACATCAAAATAGTGAAATTAAATTTTTTTAATATTCTTGTAAATTACTTGTACACGTAATAATTTAACCCCCTCTCCCCCACATAATGCTATGAAATTTCCTATAGTTTGTATTTGTTACTCTGTCTACCTGTACAGTAAGATAAACTATTCTGAAATCATGACACAATCCAAATTTACTTTCATAAATGTGTAATATATTTTGAATACAACTTTATTATATTTGTACTAAATCTTGTAAGAAACAATTGTGAATACTAAAAAATATTTATAACAATTAATTTACAGAACTTTCATTGTAAATTTATCCTTATAACTACATTTTGTAATTCAGCAACAACTTACATTTTCATCTGGTTTTAATACAATAAAGAATTATTATGTATGCTATAAATTAAAGGGTGGTGGTCTTCACGCCACGCATGTGCAACATTTGTGTTGATAAACATTTATTTTCCCATAATCCAATGCGCTCTTCTAATAGAAATCACGAGTTTTGACCTGGGCGCGACTTGCACTAATTACCAAAGGTAACTCTTTTGATACCTTTCAATCACCTAAAAATACTTATCTCACACATGCATGGTGCAACGACCACCGCCCTTTAACTTAATTTGCATACTAATTCCATGATTATGTTAATGACATACGATTGCTGGTTAATCAATTAATGTTGTCAAATAAAAGTGAAAATTCACAAATACACAACCAGTCCGAAGCTAATTTTTACATATTAATTGTTATAATCTGGCATCTGGCATTCAACTATTCCTTTGTGATTGATATTATGTCCAGAATTGAAAAAAAACAAAGTTAAAAATATCTGTGCGTCTCGTTTTGGTCACAACTACATTAAAGCCAAACTAATGTGCATTTCACTGATACATGTCAAATAAATTAGTGTGCACCTTACATATTAATAGCCATTTTGAGCATCCGAACTATATTTCCCTTCCTACACATGCATTTACAACAAGCCTTGAAGTCATTGACATGACCATCCTACTGCCTTCCATGATATGACACCGTCTCTGTCGTGCAATAGTAAACAGAAGCTTAAACCAGTATTGTGAATCAGAGCATGAGCAAAGCATATTTTGCGGTCAGTAATATTTACGAACATTTTTGTTAACTATTGAGAGGGGGCAAGGGGGTAGCTGGTACAGTTTTACAGTAAATAAAAAGGGCTTTTTACAATTTACAGGGGAAAAAAAAAAACGTTTTTACAGTTTACAGTGAAAATTGAATTTTGCAGTGAATTGTGTCATCTAGTCGTTTTACAGTTTCGAAAATGTAATTTCTCGGATTATTCTTTACGACTTTTTTTTTATTTGGATGTGAATTCTTGTATGTACCGAGAAAAATGACACATTTTTACAGTGTACGAAACAAATATTTGATTGATTACGTTGTACGTCTAGCCTGTGATTACAGGATTACGGAATTTTTTTTTTTTCAATTTACGTTGTACGAACAAAAAATATTGCAATTACGTTGAACGAAAATAACCCTTGCCCCCTTCTATTGACGATCCACTCCGCTAGGATTGCCCTTAAAGGGCGGTGGTCGTCCTGCCGCGTCCTGTTCGATATGGGACTCATAGCGACGTATACAACGCATTGAAAATACATTGTTTATTTACATGAAATTCGAACACGCGCTGTGCGACGACCACCGCGCTTTAAAATCAATGTTGTGTATCTGTGTGTGTGTGATTTCCAGTGTTTTCACGTATTAATTATTCTGTGATTGTTTTGGCTTGGCCTATTTCCCTCCAACTTGGCAGGCAGGTCACACCATCACCCTAGTTATTAGGTAAAATCTGGGAGTGTGGGCACAAAGTTATTATTTGAATTTTTGATATCTTTTTTTCATTACCGAGAAATGTGACTCTTCTGTGATTTTTTTGGCTGAGCCAATTTGGTTCAAACTTGGCAGGCAAGTCACACCTTCACTCTAGTTAGGTTGATTTTTTTAATACTTTCGAGTCAAATGTGTCTCACCCTACAATTCTAAGATTAAGTAGCTCATTCTACCCTGCTTGAGTGGGGGCATAAATTTACCGGTTGTTTTATGTCTATTTTCATTACCGAGAAACTTGACCTCAAAGTTGGGGTTACTTTTCACCAGCGGCTTTTAACTGCTCTGTGTTTTTTTGGCTTGGCTGATTTTGTTCATACTTAATAGGCAGATCGTACCGTCACTAATTGAAAAAATATTCTTGCTCACCGCTGCCATGACAACAGCCAAAAACTGATTTTTTAATACTTTCGCCCCAAATTTATTACCTCCTACCAGTCTTGTAATAGCAGTGTTCATATGATCATGTTTTTTTTTTTATTTTGGCTACATTGCACCGTGACACTGGTAAGAGATCACTGGCGCACTGTATCAACGTAATCCCAACGCAACTTTGAACTATGAACGAACTGTAAATGCTGCCTCCAATCTAGAAAATACTATTGCAAAACGGTTGGAAATAATAAATGAACGTTTTTTGCGAAATTCGTATACGGGCCCGGTTTTAGTTATAAATCGCCTGTGTTATAAACCGACGTTAGCTTCACGTTCATCTCCTACCATGTCAACAGCCGAAAACATGATGTTGCTTGTTTTTGAGCGGAGCGGATCGCCCGCCAACCTACCTATCGGCTTGTTTTATAAACTAGCCTCGAAATTCCCACCACCAATTAGACCATGTCACAGCATTTCGTCTACTTTTCCAACAAATCCAAAATCACTCGATAATTTTGTTTACTTTACATTTGTACTATGATTACATTTTAAGTTACGATAATTGTAATTCTAATACATGTACACTCACAAAAATACCCCCAAAATAAGAGAAATTAGGATATAGCCTTGACAAAAAAGCATTAATTTTACTTGTCTTAAAATTGTATTTTTGAAGAACCACGCCCAAATCGTAACTCGATGTTCAATTAATAGTTAACAGAACTTCGAGTTTTTTTTTTAAGTGGGCGTGGTTTCTAAAATATGGGCGTGGTCATTTGCGTAACTCGGTGTTCGTAACTCGAACTATTCAGTATCTCTTGCCCGTAACTCGAAGTTAGTTAACTGTTAATACAAGTTCCAGTTACTAAATTTAACCACGGTTCTAGTTACCATGATTAAACAAAACAAAAAGCCATGTTGCCCATAATTCGAAGTTCGATGAATTATTAATGAACGTTCAAGTTATTGAATGTGGACGTTCAACAAAAACCAAAAAGTTTAGTTAAAGGGGCATCTTTCAGTTAAGATTAATTTTACAACAAATTTACTTTCTGGATTAAAATAACAATGGATAACAAAAGATAGATTAACATTGTAAACAACATAAACAATAGTGTCCCATGATTCTTTGGTGCAATCCATGGGATTGAACGGTTCCCCTTTAACTGATAATTTAACATCGAGTTACTGAGTTACTGGGTGTGGTAATTTTTGTAATTTTATGATTTCGTAACTCGATGTCCGTAACTCGATCAATTCACATCTCGATAATGTAATGTTTGTTGGTGATTTGTTTTTACAATTATAATTTTTTGAGTTTTCATTTTTCTATTTTAAGTTAAATTTTCATTTTATTTGTGCATTGCTATTTATGTCTATATTTTCGTTTATATTATTTTTTTTTTAAAATCCGCCAACCGAAAGCGTGCAAAACAAAATGGCCGTCGTCTTGGAACAGAATGTGACCCTTTCAAGCAACAATTTTACAGCAGCACAATGCAGTGTGTCTTGAAGGAAATAAAACCATGTGGACAATCACTGTAGTCTGGGGGTAATATAAACAAATATTGATACACAAATGGAACAACCTTTGAGATATTGATGGAAGGAGGAACCCAACCTGCCACGAGACAGATTTTCCGGTCACATTTATGGGTGTTTTAGCCAATGAAATAGTCATTCTGCATACTCTTCCCGCCCTTCTAAATGAAGGGCGGATAGCTGGTACAGGTTACCGGAAATAAAAAAGGGATTTTACGTTTTTACAGGAAATAAAATGAAAGTTCCATTTACCGTAGAAAATAGGTTTTTACACTTTACAGAAAAAGCAAATTCCTAATTACATTTTTATAGTATAGTTGATAATTTGTGTTTGAGAATCAAACTTGGAAATTGCGTATAAATTACGACATTTAATGTGGAAAATGCGTTATACGCTTAAATAAGGTCTTTGTACAAATTAAGGACGAATAAAATAGCTGATTACATTTTTCACCTTGCGTGTCTACGAATTTACGTGTTTTATTTATTCAAATTACATTATTCTGAAATAAAAACAATTAATTACAGCTTACAAAAATATCCCTTGCCGACCCTCTTCTAATATAATATTCCGAAATGTGACATTCATTTCTTATTTTTATCCAATGAACAGGCAGGTTGAAAAAACATAAAATATGCCAATCTTACTCCAGAGATGGCGGAAAATTCCATCATTGTTTGTTGTTGCTACGGTAATCACCAAGTTGAGGCAACACATCATGAGGCAAGTGACCCACATTCAGATCAGTGCGAAAAATTGCCAGCTAAGCAGAAACTTGAGCAGCTGGATTTCTCATCAATTTCTTCCTTGCTCCATGTTCATTTGGTAATATTATTTCCGTTAGTTCCTTTGCAACACTTAAATATGTGTATTTTTTGCTTGGAGTGAATTTATGCAGCTTTTTTCAAAGTTTGCTGATTAATTCACCAGGCAAACAAGACTTTTATAATACGGAATACTGACAATTTAGTAAATCAAACGACTGGTGCGGAATACAGACAAGGAGGAAACTCAAGCCAAAATCATCGGGTAGATATTTTATAATCAACTTACGCGAGCACCACGTGTAATGTGGATTTATAGTGATGAGTGGTCTTGATGCATTACTTGTTTAAATTTCCCTCCTATCAATAAAAAAGTTGCCTCAATTTACATGTAATTGTGTACTGCTCTATTAGTAGTACATACTGTAACATGTAATGAAAGAGGCGTGTCTTTGGCCAACTACGTCACGTTTTAGTGACTCAGTCACAATAAATGCATGGCTTGATTTAGGTGTACTTCAACAAATAAACAAATCCGACACTTTCAGTTTGTTTTCAGTAATGCCGGTCGGTCTGAGACGGATTTCAGAATGCTCGTTTGAACAACCTGAAGTTTCATTCTGTAAAACAATGGCCACAAACCGACACATAAAAACCGATAAACTACAACTACAACTACAAAGACCTTTCTTTTTACAACTAAACCACAGTCACATTGAAGTAGCTTGTCGGTTCATTTCATAATTTTAAGGTAGCAAATTTCGCCGATAATTACGACCGTGTGATTGAAATCGACGATCGGTAGTTGCGGAACTTCTCTTACATATGTGTGACCAGAGCATGTACATCTTTGAAACGAGCATACATGATGTATATGACCAACAAGGCTACATTACGCGTGTCTGTGAACCGAGCCCCCAGTAATAATGTTGAAGTTACTTTGTCCCGAATCGGGGCTTGACAGTCACCGGTCATAATCATTCCAACTGTCGTACAAGTGAAATGTGATTCATCTTGATGTCAATTGGTAAATATACTTTAATCACTGTTTAATGATAGAACGAATAACACATGACAGCAAGATGTGTCTCAAGCTCGTGGTTATTTCATGGGAAGCGAGCGCACGTACGTTGCACGAGGACCACTTCCGCCCATTAGTTGTTTGTGTTGTATTATAAACATGGGACTGACCTCACAGGAAAACTGGCAAACACACCTAAAATGTGTTGTACCATCCAGTTCTTTTCAGAAAGTGCTCATTCATAACCAGCAGAGACGCACACACGTAATCAAGACATGTTTGGATTTCCGCTACGTCAAGGGAATACTTCAGATCCTATTTTTAGTACTTCCTCGTGTTGCTTCAGCATAAAAGAGAGTCCAGAATTTAGAATCGTTTATTTGTCTACAACGTAGCCATACTGATTCGATCACAATGACAAATCAGTATGGTTGTAGATGGTTTTTTATTCCATCATTATTGACGATTATTTGGTTTAACGGACAGGTAAATGTAGCAGTTCAAACACGTTTTTTACCACATTACATGGGCGCAAATATGGATATTATTAGTTTACTGTTGCGCGATCGGAACGTCATCATTGTTCTTATCCCCTTACATTTACATTGCCTCGATGTTTAATAATTGTGTTAAATTGGTTGCTGTTTTGTAATTCTCTTTCATGAAAATCACATAGTACTTATTTGTATTACCATTCACATATAGGGGTGTCAATCGTTTCCGATAGAAAATGGCATGGTGAAATCAATGGAAAATAGTGATGTCGGCGCTCTATTGTTAAACTTGCAGGGGAATTCCCATGGTGGTTTCTCGAATGAAGACGTCATAGCAGCAGGTAACGTCACAGAGAATTGTCGTGACTGGTGAATGTTACAATAACAAAATCAACAGATTTAAATGTCAATAATGTAAACATGTTGTAGTCGCTTGGATTTACAGCTTCCTTCTTTCGAGTTATTGTACACAATAATACTCATTGGAATTTCTAACATAATTCATCACCAGTGTTTTGACACTGTGTCGTAACACCGTGACCCGCTCAGCATTAAGATTACTTCCGGGTACTCGTTACTCGTGCAAGTATCGCGAGGAGGGTAGGCGAGCATAAAAACACGCCAGGGCCACATTTTATAGTTTTTGTCATAAGAAATAAATAGTAAACTAATAGTTGTCTTGTACGCAATTAATCAACTAGTCAATCTGGGAGGGTATATTCGGCATATGTGCAGCGCGTCGGGTCCGCATGACGGATGATAATTGTTGTTAACATATAAGGCTCTGCGTGTATTGGTTCACCCATGATGGAAAGTAATACCTTCCATGGTTCACTTATCAAACGATATGTGACGGTTTGGTAAACGGTTGCTCAACTCAACTTTATACGAATTTCTGTCGCTTGCGACGCCAACACAGTCACCTTGAAGTCAAAGTAGTCATATCATATCATATCATATCATGTATAAAGCGGTTTATAAGTATACATTTTTATACATCAAAATGGGTGTATAATTCGAATTGACCAATCCGGAAATGGTATTGAGACCTCAACGTTAATTCTCGCACGCGCCTCGTTTTGAATGCATACGCGCGCATTATGGGCGTAGACAATGTTTAGTTCTTGATCCAATTGCTATTTGAATTGTCATAAAAGCTGACGATCGGCTTTTACATTTTTTATAAATACGATTATAAGTAAAGCCCTAACTTTCCACATTCAACATAACGCGTTTAAATTACTTGGGTACTGTAATTTCGCAATGGAACATGGCTGCACGCACGGTATCTCACATCTACGCCAGCCAAGATTTCTCATCATAAATATATATATTCACGAGGTGTAATGTTGCGCACTAATTGAGCCATGTTACTTTATCAGGTTCGTACCTCATTTGGGGAGAGGGCATTTTTATTTTAGAGAGATTCCACAACTTCGTGATATTAGCGAAACAATTAATCGGACCTGGAATTACGTTTAGAAATGCGAAAAAAAAATTATGTATTTGTGTTTGTGAGTTTGAGTTTATATTGAACTGTTAATTAACAATGGTCTACATGATTCTATACAACTCTCCTTAGCTACAGTGACAGTAAAATTGAGGTCGATGTTTTTAGCTCCATGATTATTTAAAGCGGGAGAGTCGTCATCTGCGCATGCGTTAAATGGCCATAGCGTGTCATTG